GTTCTTTCTTTTTTTCAGGAGTGAAATAGGGGAGGTGGGGCTGGCGCTTCCAGCTCTGACATGTCATATTTCTAACTCTTCTTAGAAAGAAGAGTTCGAAGGGGAACAAGACCGATCTGATGCTGTCCAAGAAGACAGATGCTGGAAAAGACAAGAGAGACCGTTAGGGTCAATCTTCCCACCGCCTACCCACTCCCTCATCTGGGTGGATGGAGAAAGTGAGGCTCAGAGAGGTTTGATAACTTAGCCAAGGTCACACAGTGAGTTAGGTATGGGCTGAGCCAGGGGGATTCTAGCCTTATTAACTTTCTGAATCTGGGGAGTGAGGGAGGAACTGACAGGTGGAGTGCTGGGACCCCATCCCAAGCATCCACATTTGTATCTGTTCGATATATGTCAGTTACACAAGATTGCAAATGAAAAAGGAGTCCCCCAAACTGGCATTAGAACATCCTCCCATGGCCACCAGCCTCTCTCCTTTTCCTCGTCTTCTCCTTCTCTCTTTGACAAAATTCTCAGAGAATAAAAATACGTTTATGAGAAGAAGTAGAGAGATGTGGTCAGTGGAGTCCTGAACACATTGATCTCCAATCTGGGAACGCCAGAGATACTTAATCTAAAGAAAACCATTCTCAGGGTCCAAGTTCATGGCGATGAAGGGGGCCCTGCCAGCGGGTAATGAGCACCCCATCAGTGAGGACGTGTAAGACTAGACGGATCCATGCAAATGTTAACAGCAATTATCTCTAGACAGCAGAATTCCCAGGCTTGTGTTGCTGTTTTTAAATGTTGATAAAAGCTGATGATTAAACACTCGCCATATGCTGAGTGTTTTGTATGTGTATGTCATTAAAATGTTATAATAATCTGATGAGGTAGAACCAGTTGTTCCCAATTTACAGATAAGAAAACTGAGGGCCCCAGAGGTCAGGTTATTTCCCAGGCACATGCAGCTAGGAAGTGGCAAGTGGAGAAACAGATTGCTGGGCGTCTTTCTCAACAGGGCATTGTTCTTTCTTCTTTGTATTTTCCGGGCTTCTGGCAATGAACACGTGTTCCTTTCATAATCATGAAAAAGTCCTACAAGGGACTGATTTTTAAAAAGATTCCTTCTGCTCTGATGTTCTGTGTGTCTCTGGTTCTCGGAGCCTCGCCCAGCACCCTCTCCACCGCCCCCATCCTCTCAGACATCAGCTTTGCCGGCCCACCCCCCCTGTTGCTGGGGTAGGACACCCACATCTCAGTCTTGCTGAGGTCTGCTCAAAGTGTTCCTGGCAAACTTCTGGCCCCTGGGGAAGTTCAGGGGGAAGGTCTGGAGAAGGAGAAAGGGAAGTGGGAAGGGATGTGAAACTTGGCCACAGCCTGGAGCCACTCCTGCTGGGTGTCCCACAGGGGGCCCTGGGGAGGAGGGTAGGACTGTCCAGTTGGTGTTGACAGCCGGAGGCAGGTAAGGCCAGAGCACAAGAGGGATGGGACTGTGAAATTCAAGGGTCCAGGGGAGCTAGCCTAGGGGGCCCAACAATAGAGGCAGGGAGGGAGGGAGGCACCAGTCTGTGCCAGGGCAGGGATGGGGGACACTGATTCAGGATCCTGAACAGATGAGTGGAGGGACCTTAACTCTGTGGGCCAGAACTTGGGGAGCATGGGAGGTGGTGAGTCAGATCTACCACCTGGTGGGTCTTCAGTTCCAGCCAGGATTCCTGGGTCCTGGCCCCCAAAACCCAACCAGCTGGGGAAAGGCTGGGGGTGCCAGAGCCAGCAGTGGGCCCAGCAGAGGGGCCCAGGGGCACAGCCAGTTGCCCATCCTTTGGCAGAAGCTGAGAAGAGCCAAGCCCGCAGAGAAGTGAGCAGGTGTTGTGCCGGGTGTTTGTGAATTCCTGTGTGCACGCACAGCTCTGCCATCTGGGTGAGAGAGCACTAATTAAATAAGGAGCAGGCACTCAATAAATATTTGTTCAATGAAATCGATCATGTGTGGGAGTGCATGAATATGTGTGTCCGGCTGAGTGAGGGACAGGGTCTATTTGGGTATCAGTTGTATGACTAGGAGCGTGGAGTGGATTTTTTAGTTTGTCTACTGTGTTCTGTATGTGCTCAGATGAGAGGTTGTGTTTGTGTGTTGAGTGTGTGATGACATGGATGTGCTCGGTGGCACATGTGTATTTGTGTGGAGTTCCTGGAGCTGGCCTGGGAGTGGACATTGAGGGCCCTCTGGGTGTGGGCACTGGGAAGAGGTGTGTATATATCAAGTGTGCCTGGGATTCCAGGGTCTGAGTAGGGGATGCATGGGTATGTCCAGCCTGCCCAGGCCCTTCCCTTCATGTCCCCACAGTGCCATCATGGTGGGCCCCTGGAGATGGCTGGCAGTCTGTGTGCTGGCCATGTCCCTGGCCTCTGCGGTGACGGAGAATGTGTGCCGAGCCCCAGATGGGAAGGCCGGGGCTGCAGGAAGACCTGGCCGACCAGGGCGGCCAGGCCTCAAGGGGGAGCAAGGGGAGCCAGGTAAGCACTCTCTCTCTGGATCCAGCCCCTCAGGCCTTGGCCTGGGCTGGCCTTCAGGGTCAAGGTTTGGGGGTGGCAGTGACAAGCAGGAGTCCATCTGCCCCTCCATGAAGATTTTCCAGTTTGCAATTGCCCCCAGGGGCTGAGGGGGGCCTAGCCTTCTCCCCATGCTGTGTCCCCAGGCCCCCAGGACTCTCCACATTCCCCTTACTGCCTTTGTCCCCTTACTCCCTTCTTTCTGTCCTCACCTTCCTCCTCTGGAGAATGTGTTGCTTCTGCTTCGAGTAATGAATGTGAAAGTTCTGGAAGCAATGCCCTGTCCTTGGTCATTGTTCAGTTACCAGATTATTAAAGCTCCAGATTTTAGATTCAAGAATCTCTGCCTTGCTGTGTGACCTCAAATAAGTTACAGACCCTCTCTGAGCTAAGTTTTTCCATTTATAAAATGAGGAAATAACCCTGCCTGGCACACAGAAAGGGACAATTAACTGTAACTATCTTTTGCTTCCTTTCAGCACCCCCAACTCTGTCCCTGCTTCCCTCTCCCTAGCTCATTCAGGCTCCAGGAATCCTCATGTTCTAAAAAAAAAAAAAAAAAAAAGCTGGGGGTGATGGAAAAGGGAGAAGGGAGGAGGTCATGATCAGAGTGGGAAAGGAAAGTTTCATGCCACTGCCCTGAGCCTCCCAGTCCATAGTAGACCAGAAGGATTGCAGAGACATTTGTATAATTTACATCTGGGCATCCCACATGTGATTCCCCAAACATGAAGAAATCGGGGCAGTAGAAATCGGGGTAGTGGTCTGGATGAATGTGGAGTGCACAGCCACGGGCAGGAGCACAGCAAAATAGCCAGAAGGTCCTGCATTTCCCAGAATTTGATGCTTACCTGAGTACCTGTTTTTACTTCTCTCTATTTTACAGAATAACGGGAGGCTCAGAGAGGCTGAGACACTTCCGCAAGGTCACACAGCCAGTCAGAATCAATGTCTTGAAGGCTCAGGGGTTCCAGCCCTCTCCCTACAGACTGGTGAACCCTGGACTCTCACTCTTGATCTGGTATTTCTTCCCACAGGAGCCCCTGGCATCCGGACAGGCATCCGAGGCCTTAAAGGAGACCAAGGGGAATCTGGGTCCCCTGGAGCCCCTGGCAAGGTGGGCTACCCAGGGCCCAGTGGCCCCTTGGGGGACCGTGGCCTTCCAGGATTGAAGGGCATCAAAGGCAACCCAGGAAACATCAGGGACCAGCCACGGCCGGCCTTCTCAGCCATCAGGCGGAGTCCGCCAACAGGTGGCAACGTGGTCATCTTCGATACGGTCATCACTAACCAGGAAGGCCGATACCAGAACAACTCAGGCCGGTTCGTCTGTGCTGTGCCTGGCTACTATTACTTCACCTTCCAGGTGGTGTCCAAGTGGGACATCTGCTTGTCCATTGTGTCCTCCTTGAAAGGCCAGATCCGGCGTTCCCTGGGCTTCTGTGACACCAACAGCAGGGGGCTCTTCCAGGTGGTGTCTGGGAGCACGGTGCTCCACCTGCAACAAAATGACCAGGTCTGGATCGAAAAAGACCCCAACAAGGGCCGCATTTACCAGGGCTCCGAGGTTGACAGCATCTTCAGCGGCTTCCTCATCTTCCCATCTGTCTGAACCAGGGCAGGACCCCCCTCCCCAACCCTGACCTTATCCACTTCCTGCTGTGTGACCCTGGCCCGCTCACTCCACCTCTCTGGCTTCTGTGCACCACTCTGTAAAAAAATGAGGGTGTGGTTCCTTTAGCTGTCAGAAGGGAGAGAGCGGGCTCTGAGAGCCTGGTAGGACTTGATGCCCTGCCGCTTGCTGTAAGATGGTTTTTTAGAACTCTTCCTGTAATAAACATCTGAGTCTGCTGAACTGAGGTTTAGTTGCTATTCTGAGCACTGTGAGGGTAGCATAACAATGGTAATGATTACCGAGTGCTTAGGAAGCTGGCTTATGGTATTTCACATGATGTGCTTACCTGGTTTTAGCAGCCTCATCTTCCCGGGTTCAAATTCTGACACCACCACCTTATTAGTTTTCTGGGGTTTTTTTTTGAGACAGAGTTTTACTTTGTCACCCTTGGTAGAAGGCCGTGGAGTCACAGCTCACAGCAACCTCAGACTCTTGGGCGTAAGCAATTCTCTTGCCTCAGCCTCCCAGGTAGCTGGGACTACAGGCACCTGCCACAACGCCCCTTTATTTTTTTTCCTCTCTTATTCTTTCTCAGGCTGGTCTTGAACTCGTGAGCTCGGGAAATCCACCCACCTCGGCCTCCCTTAGTGCTGGTATTACAGGCATGAGCCACCACACCCTGCCACTTATTTGTTGTCTAATTGTGTGCACCTTACCAAGTTCTATTTCCTTATCTGTAAAGTGGGGCTGATACGCAGTGGTAGCGTCCACCTCAAAGGATGGTTGAGAGGATTCAGTGACTTAATATGCAAAAATTACAGAGCAGTTTCTGGTTCATCAGAGCTTTGGAAGTTGTCGCTATTCTTATATTTCTTTTAATCTTTATTATTAAGCTCTGAGGTTGGTATTAGGACCCAACTTTATAGAGGATGACACTGAGGGGGCAGTGACGGGAGTGTTAAATCCCAGGTCAGTATGGAAAAGGCAGGATCTGGGACTTGAACCTAAATCTTACTGAGCCCTGGGCCCCTGTATTGACCACCACCCTTGCCCACCCCCCACCCAGCCTCTCCTGCTGCACATGACGAATCACACGGTGCTTTCCCAGCCTGTACTAGGCAGGCAGGACCAGGGATTGGAGAGGGAAAGCACCTGACCCCACGGCCCCCAGCAGTCTTCCTTGAAGCTGTTTTCTGAGTCCAGCCCTCAGCTTCTTCCCTGGCACGCTGGAGGCTAGGGCTGTCTGTTAGGGCTCCCACCTGGGCTGGGGGCCCAGAAGAATGCTCACGGTGCAATCCCAGGGTCAGACTCAACCTATCTGGGAGCTGCTTGGAGGCAACAAACTCCACCATGACCTTTGTATGTGAGAAAAATAGCTCAGTCCTGAAAATGTCCAATACTCTGTGAGTTTTCCCAAAGGAAGCCAGATTTATTTGTGTGCTATACACACACACACACACACACACACACACACACACACTAGCTGGGGAAAGGGTCCGATTTTTGGTCATCTACTATGTGCTGGTACCATAATCATCAGTGCTTTTAATCCCAGAAGAATAGATGAGGATACTGGTGCTCAGAAAAAAGAGGCATCAACCCATGGTCACACAGCCAAAAAAGGATAGGATGTAGATCTCAACCAGCTCTGCCTGACCCTAAAGGGTTTCTTCTTTCATTGCAATGGGACTCAGAAAATGTCAGGGAGGGAGGCTCCATGGGGGCAGGAGAGACCAGGCCAAAGACATGGTGAATGCAGGGAGTGCCTGGCCGCCTCCTCACCCAGGTCCTACCCACACCACCAGTGGCCTCACAACATCCCTCACGAAGGCAAAGCTCTGGTCCCCAGGAGCTGAGGCAGGTGGGAGGGGCAGGGGAGAGCTGAGCATGGGCTGACGCTGCCACCTGGTGGACAAGACAGGCCAGGCGCAGGCCAGTCAAAGAGGGAGGACAGACGACGAGGATGTAGCACTAGGTTGGGTCGCCCTGGTCCTCTATACTGGTCTTTTCAGCAGTCTGACTGCCTGGGACTCATAGGGCCAAGTGTGCTCATGACCTTGACCTCGTCTTACACTCTGCAGCCCCATGCCCCAGGGTGGAGGCACAGATGGGCAGACCAAAGCCCTGAGGGTCCCTCAGCAAAGCAGGGCAAAGGTCTGAGCTGCTCATGCCTGGCACAGGGGTAGGCACTGTAACTGTGATATGTACAGAATCCCACCCACCATCCTGCGAGGAGTCGGAAGCCCCCATTCTACAGAGGAGGAACCAATGCTTAGGGAGTTCCCACAGGTGGTAGGTGTGGGTTCAAGGGTGAGATTCTCTACTGCCGGGCAGCCCCTTGGTGCCTAGAGTCTCATATGAGAAGAGGGGAGAAGAAAGGGCTTCCCTCAGCTCTGCAGCCTGGTCCTGCTGGGCAGCTCTCACCAGCTACGCAGGCTCCAAGCCCAGCAACAGGGCGTGTTGGGACGCAGGTGAGAAAGGGGCGATGGCAGGGAAAGTGGGACTACTGGCAAAGGAAGTGGCACCAATGCTTGAAGCCAGGCCCCCCAAAGTATGGAAGGGGAAATCGAGTCCCCAGGGCCAGTGTACTGAAGACCTCAGGATGAGGGGAAAAAAGCCAGGCCTGACTCTGTGACCAGGGAACCCTATATATCACAGCAGCTGCCTGCCCTCAAAGCCAGCCATCCTGGGGGTTCACCTCCAAGTACGGCCACTGGGATAGGGCATATGGAAGTTTCTAGAACAAGACCTGCCATTTGACAAATGTGCATGAGGCTTGTTTCTGGGCACAGCTGAGTAGAAACATCAGAGCAAAGCTTTGGATCCTAAGAGACTACTCAGGGTGAGCAGGGACTTACACCTCCCTGCTCACAGCCTCAGTCTCCTCATCTATCAAGGGGGATAATAACTCCCTCCCTGGGACAATGTGTGAAACTGAGTCTCAGGAACAGCAAATGCCAACACTGGGCATTTGACAGGCTAGAACTGATTCTGGGGGACATCTGTGTTCTGGGAGCTGTGTTCACACACACACACACACACACACACACCCTTAACCAGCTGCTGGAGTGGTCAGTGGACATTTCCTCCTTTCAGACACTTATGACAGAAAGGGGGGCTGTGGGTGTGAGGGGTGTCACTGTGGTCAGCCCGGCTCAGCACTCAAAAGAAAGTGTCAAGTCAGGAAAATTGTGGGAAAGAGGATGTGGGAACAGGGGAGGAAGAGGGGAGGGGAGGGGGCCCAGCCCTGCCCTGGGCCATCCCTGCTCTGTCCACTCTGACACGGTGTCCTCCTGCCTGGGAGAGGGGAGGCAGATCTGAGGACCTCTCTGTGACCAGACCAGAGCCGCCCACCCCCAGTGACGCCCAGACCCCTGCCCAGGTAAGGGCATTGCCCACCCCCAGTGAGGCCTGGACCCCTGCCCATGTAAGGGCAGATGGCAGATTTTCTCTTGCCACCTTCCTGAAACAGCATCAGGGACAGCTCCATTTATGAGGGGAAGGAGCATCCCCACTGCCTGCTGGGCCCGGGAAGGACAGGGAGCTGGGCTCCTGAGGGCTGAGGAGGACACATTGGCGAGTGAGGGGCTGGGGGGCCAGCTCGGCTCTCTCCCCACCTAGCTCCTTCCCCAGGACGGACATGGTGCCCAACTGCCGGCCCCACCTCCAGCTAAACCTGCTGCTGCTCCTGCTGGTGCTGCCCCTTGGGGGCCAGGCCAGCACAGGCTGCTATGGGATCCCAGGAATGCCGGGCCTGCCCGGGGCCCCCGGGAAGGACGGGCACGACGGACTGCCAGGGCCCAAGGGGGAACCAGGTGAGTCTATTGGCCTGGCTAGGGGCTGGGGCCTGGGGCTGACCTGGGGGTGGGGGGACAGCAACTTGACAGCAAGAAGTGCATCCCCCACTGCCTTGCCTGCCCCCAGGGCAGAGTCTGAGTCCCACTGCTGTGGACTTGCTCACCCCTCTGCAGAGTTCAGGACTCAGGCCTCCCCCAGGTGACCTCTGGCCCCTCCCTAAGGTGACCTTGGACCCATGTGCTTCTGGGCTCCTCATTTCTTCATCCGATAATAGGGGGAAATAAGAGCACCTGCCCTGGCAGTGAAGCCCTTTGGCAAACTCTCAAGGGCTTGGCCACAACTTCATTACACACCATCCCTGGCCCTCTATGGGTGCCTGGGGAATGTGGGCCCATGCAGTGAATGCAGCCAATGCATGAGCATGGGACAAATGAGTTATTTAACCTTGCAGGGCCTCAGTGTCCTCATCTGTGGAATGGGGAGATGGCAGTATCTCCTTTACAGGGGTGCTGTGAGCATTGGGTTCACATGTGAACCTGTTCTGAGCGCATGGCAGGTACTGTACAGGTGTGGCCCATTGCTGTTGATTTGATCAGAAGCCTGTACTCACCTCCCTGCCCAGGATCCTGGGTAGTGGGCAAGGGAGTTTGGGAAGACAGGATTATAGCCATGGAATCTTCCATCAGAAACCCACGGCAAGCCCTCACGTGAGAAAGGAGGGCTGAGGACAGAAATGGTCAGCTGGTGCTGGGGCTGGAGGTGGAGCCCAAGGGCATGGGTACCTTGTCTGTGAGTGTGTCCAAAGCCAGCCGCGTGAGCCTGGGGTGGGACAGGGCAGAGGTGATGGGGGTGGCAGAGGCAGGTGGAAGGAAGAACTCCTTAGGAGTTTCGCCACCATCATCTTCCCTCCTGGCAATAGAAAGGGATTTTACCGACATTCTAGAAGGAATTCTCCAGTTCTGCATGAGCCAAATCAGGTTCCCAGGTCTGCCATTTTAGGGACCCTGTACTTTGCCGCTGCCTCTGGCCATCTCACTGCCCAGGTAGCCACTGGCCACTAATTAGTGACTTTCCAAGTACCAGGCAGTTTTAGTTTTACAAATGAGAAAACCGAGGCCACAATCCTTTGAAGATGTGACTGCCTCCCATCTTGCAAATATCAAAGCTCGGTTCAGAGGGCTTGAACGACTCCCACAAAGGCACAGAGCTCTGAAGCCCACCCTCTCTCTGTGCCATGCCCTCTGCTCCTCTCAGGCCCCCCCTCTCTGCGGCTGAAGAGGTCACGAAGGATGAGGCACTGCTTTGCTCGTGTCACTGACAGCCACCTCCTGGACCTAACGTTCCCAAACACACTTTGTGTGGGTGCCTGGCACTGTGCTCAGCCCTTCGCACACATCCCCCCATTCCTCTCTTTCAGCAGCTCCCTGGGATCTGTTCTAGTACACCCTTATTTCAGCTGAGCCAACACAGGCTCAGGGAGCAGAGACCACCTGCCCCAGTCACACGGCCTGAAACCCAGGTCTGCTGGGTCCCCACCCCACATTTCTAACTCTGGGATCTACCAGGCCACAAGCCATGAGGATCTGTCATACATGGTTCTGCACAGATACAACCCTTTAGAATTAGATGAGGAAGGGAAACACTAGGGCTTGCGGTTGGTCAAGGAGGGCTTCCAGGAAGAGAAAACTGGAAAAGGTGGGTGTGGTTGAGACAAGGGGGAAAGGATCTTACAGGGCTTCAGATCACCAGGGTTAAAGCAGAATCAGATGCTCTGACTGGGATTGGGCCAGACCCGTATTTGAGTCCTGCCTCCAGCTCATGCTGGCTGTGCTGGCTGCATGGCCAGGGGCAAATCTCTGACCCTGGTAAATGAGGGAAATTGAACAGGCCAGTTGTCACAGTTGAAGTGAGCTAGGTGGGGCTGGGGTGAGCTGGAGAGAGAGAGCAGCCCCCTTCATGGACAGCCTCTATTCTGCCCCATCCAGCAGTTCCCACGTGCTAATGCTGTCTCAGGAACCAATCGATATGGGCTTTGTGGGACTCTGATGGTCATAAAATGTTGAGGGTCCTCTTTAAGAAAAATAACACAAGATGATAGCTACACTTGATGACACAGGTGGTGATGGTTACAAAAATCTATACATGTGACATAATTATAGTGGAACCACATATGCACACACAAGTGCAC